CTGTCATATGATTACAAATCATTAAAAGCCACAGAGGTCAGTGAAATGCATCAGAACCTGCAAATGTATGTTTTATTCCTAAGCTTCTAATGGTCTTCCTATTATTCCTTCAACATAGGAGCTTGCATCTTGTTAAAAGCAAACAAATAAGGCCAAATGACATAACAGGGGTCGACCTCTGTGTATCAAAGGCTAATGACAGCCCGTTCCCATGGTGCTTTATGAGCCACCACTGCTCCTGAAAACAAAGCTAACACTAATGATGCTACACAGGAAGAGAGCATCTGCTTTTGCATCCTGAGGGGCAAATCCCATGCAAGTTGCTCGGATCACAGCGTGAGTCAGCCAGCTGGATCATGTAGGAGGCACAGTGGTAAGGAAAGAGCTATCAAAGCTCATTGACACTCAACTTTGATTTCTTTCTATTCAACTAACACAGTGACTTATGTATCCAAACACATGTGGCTCCCATGGGATAATTTCCTGAGCCTTTGATAAATTTACACCAAGGCATGTTAATGTTAACCTCATGGTGGGTCTAGAAAGATAAAGGAAACACCAAAGTCACTAGACTTTCATTATCATCCTCTGGAGATAACGAAAGTCACCAAAAGCATGGACATCTTCAATTGTTGTCAAGACATTTAAGGTTGTGTCAGAGTGATGACCTAACAGGCATGCTGCCATCGTATATAGTGACCTTATCCCAAGAGGATCAATTATTTTATTTGCTGTTCAGTTACAGTGTCAACATGCTTACATCATGAATACATGCTTAGGGGTGGCTCCAGCTCAGGAGGTGGGACAGGTAATTTACTGATCAGAGGGTTGGTGGTTTTCTAAGCACTTAGAAATAGAAGAAAGTGCTTATATGAATGTGGGGTGAATGAGACATGTTGTATTCTTCTTTTAGTGCTCAAATAGAGTACAGAAGTGCTATATAAGAACCAATCTATTTATCATATACTATAATTTACTTGCAAAGAGCCATGAGCAACATGAGATAAAGAACTATTACAAAAGCTCTATGAAGGGCTGCCATTATGCTGTTTGTTTAGTACATCAGCATCATCTTTTGGTTAAAGGGATTGTAAGTGGCACTTTTATATTATGTTTAAATGACTAACCTTAATGAGAAGTGATACAATATATCCAGGTCAAAATCATATTGCAATGCTATTTGGTGGACTGCTGCAGTGCTTTTGTTCTGAGCAGCTGGTGAAGAAAAACACAGTGGAGACTAGAAATTGCGTTTCTGAATACAGAGATCTCAGCATGAGGGTAATCAGCGAGTCATTTGTGTGGAATATTAACCCATTTAACTCCCGCAGATCCATTCCTGTCATTTTGTGCTGTGAGCGCTATAATAATTGCACTTAATGAAACTTTAATTCTGCCTTCAATCCAATTTTATCTTAGCATGCTGCATATTCCTTTTGATTTACACATTCGCCTGAGAAAAAGAAACTGCTTCTGCAGCCAGTACAGTCTATAAATAGCAGACATGATGCTGCATTAGGACACAGTGCGTTTCACCTTTCCCCAGGTTCAGGTCTGAGTCAGTACTCATAACACACCTCTGCTGTGATCTCCTTAGGTGAGGTCAGACTCCCAGAGGGAAGGACAAAGATGGACAATGGCCTGGCAGAGAGCTTGCTCTCAAGCTCTGGGGGATTATAATAAGCTGGGGCTCCACATACCATCAGGCTGTAACTCACACTGACTGCTTGTACTACACCGATCTGTGCTGTTCACTAAAAGAAGTTAGCATTTACTGCTGGGTAGGGCACACGGAGGTTGCACAAAGAGTCAGTGCTTTCATAAAATTGGTAGAGAGGCTGTTTCTAACTTTCCTAGCTGCAGGGAGTATCCGGCTTTGTGAGGGAATCACAGCAAAGATGTGAAAAAACATTGCAAGAGTTTGGTAGCTGCATGTTAACTATGAATTTTGAGAAATATGCTCTAAGTAAAATATTAAAACTGGCCCAAACAGTTACATAATAAATCTGCATGAGAACATAAATGTTCTATAGAGTTTTTATCACCTCGCCCCCTAAAACATAGCGCACAGAGATGGCAATAACATTAACATAACCACAATGTTTCTCCACTTGCTGCTACACACTTGATTTACGAGGTTAGGAGAGTAATATTGCACTTAGAGTCTCTGCTGGAGTGTCCTTAGGCAAGATACTAAAATCTCTGCTCAGAGTGTGCAGTTCTGTGGCTGACAATGCCTCGAGAGGGTTTGCTGATACCTGTTTTTTGTGCTTACCTTGTTTTTGCTTTATTACCTACAGTCATATGAGACAGCTCTATTGTTTATCAAGAACTTGCTTCGAGTCCTTGTATATTTAATGCATGACTTAACTGCCTTACCTGTAGGCATTTTTGGATGCAGGCCGGGGGTCAAACTTGAAGAAAATTATACACATGGATGTGCTGGGGATTGATGGCAGGGCTTTCACTTGGTTCACATCTGCCTCTAAATCTCAGCCATACCTGACAAAGAAAATAATATAGGAGTTATTCTGAATACCCTTTAAAGAAAACAAACAATCTAATTCCCACACCTTGCGATATCACAGCAAAAACAAAAACGACTAATGAAAAAAAAAAAAAAACTCCTTGTGTACTTTAACTCCTATTTCTCTTGATTTCCCTTGAAGTGTTTCAAAATCTTGACTGATAAATTGTGGTAAATTTAATTAACCAGACTAGATTTGGAAAGGCACCTGCCTATATAAAGTCTCATGCCTGATGATGCACGTCAAAGCAAAAACCAGGGTAAGTCAGAATTCCTGCAGTGATCAGAAACAGTGCAGCATTGCAAAGCATGCTAAGCATTTTGCTGCAGGGAAAATTCCAAAGAACAGAATGGCCTTTATATTTCTTAAATGAAAGCAGTTTGGAATAAACAGGACTCTTGAAACTTTTGAACTAGCAGGCCATCCAATCAACCAAAAGAGCAGGGACTTTAGTAGAAGTGATCCAGTGGTCGTTCTTACTGAAATTCTGTGTGGAGATGAGAGAACCTTCAGAAGGACGCTCATCACTGCAGTACTCCAATGATATCGGGTTTATGGCCCAGATGGCAGGCAGAAGGAGGTTCCTCATATCAGACTATGAGAAAAAAGATTTCTAACCTGAGCAAACCAAGTCCTCTCATCGCCTGAAAGCGACAAGAGTGAGTGACCAGAAAATAGACAATATAGACTACTGCAGTTGGCAAAGACGTTCAACCTGCCAAGGGGATCCCCACCCAGACTCATGATTTATTCCACCGACAGTTTGTAAATTAAATACAAACATCTATGTATAAGCCTGGAAATATATCCCAGGTGACACACCTCTAATAAAACAAGGTTAATGTGATATTCACGTTTTCTTAATTAACATATTTTCTACGTTTTTATTTCGTCATTTTGAGGCGAATAAAGTTCTGAAAACTTTCTGAATACATTGTTTCCAGACTTAGAACACAGCACCCAAAAGTTTTTTTTTCTGTCTGCGTTCACTCAGCACCTAGTTTATATGTGGAAGAAAAACGGTTTCCCTTTATAGAACAAGCTAATCACATTTTATTACAGTCTTTGCAGTATATTGTGTGGTCATGTCCTGCACCACATTCAGAAGGACTGGGATACAAGTCATTCAGCTACAGTATCCTAACTGTAATGAGTGCAAAGGTAGCAATTGAGTAGAGTCGTAAACTTAGCCATATGTCACAATGGCATTTAATGACTCGCTAGTCCGACCCCAATAATCAGCTGGTATTATGAAGCTAGAGGGTTGTGACAACTTGTCACAGTTGACATCAACTACACATTTTGAATGATACGAGGACACGAGCGACTAGCATTGTCGCAGGACATTAATATTTGATAGACAGCAACGAACTAGCTGAGTAGCATATCCACAGACAAAATATTAGTCGAGTAATATGGTTAGTTGAACGATTAGTTCCAGGATAACTTCACCTACACATAACTAGCTAACGTTAGCTTAGTAATAGTTAACAGTATAACGAGGACACCGACCCAGCAAACTTTAGCTACCTACCCAAACTTAGCTGTGTGCGAAACAATATACTACAAATGATATCTGGCTTATCGTTTTCTACACTGCTGTTGTGTCGCCTAGTTGTACTCACCACCCCTCAACACTCGGTGTTGACAGCTAAAAGGAAGTACTCACAAAGAGTGACCTCGATTTGAGTCTTCAGTCGTTTCATAAGGCTAAAAATCCGACGTGACCGGTTATTATCTGTGACGTGACCTTAACCCCGCCCGCCTCTGCATTTTACATACATAAAAACAAGCGCATATGCTCAGTATTCCAGTATGATTGGTCATTTTACAAAACACGAACAGCCAAGCTCGCAGTAAACGGAAGCAATGAGGTTTCCGGTTTAGTTAACATTATTTTCAAAATAAAAGCATTAGTGTCAGAAGTGTGTTTTTATGTTACAATTCTTTAAGGAAAAACGGCTTGGCAAACAGGGTTTATTTTATTAACATGATTATGCCTCACAATACAATATAACTGAAAACTATATTGTAATTTGTTTTAACACATAGACTGTAGTACAGGGTAGCATTTTTCCAAATAAGGAACACTTTTAATTTGAAAAATATTCTGTAGACGTCATTTTTGTATTCCCGCGGGATTGACGATGTAGTATTGACATCAATCATGTCATATCAATAGACAGGAGAAGCCTACAGAGAAATGCAAGATGAAACTGATAAAATAAAATGGAATAAATTAAATTAAATTAAAAATTGATATAGAGTTTTATGAATTTTAATGGAAGGTTTACCAAAATAGTATTTTTTTTAAATTCACTGACAGAAAAACTTAAACGTAATAACAGGAATAAATTCACTGAAAGTAACAAGTCTTTTTATGAATAATCGAATAAGGTTAATTTTCCTCCAATAGTAGTTTGAATGGGGCGGAGACACTCGCTGTGACCGACAGCATCCAGCACTGTTGTGGATGAGCGGGATAAAGGCTGCTCTGCCTTTCATACACTAGAATACAACTTCGCTGTCTCTAATTAACGTATTTATTAGCCGCTTCGAGTGCATCCTATAACTTCAAAGCCCATTAGGTTAGGTTTACTGTTTGTTATTATTTTTTATTTTTTCCCCGCTGCATGTGGAGCGACTAAAGGGACTCGCCGACAGCAACCTGCCAACTCCAGTTTGAGAGATTTGGCAGGTTGTGAGAGTAGTAGGCTCTCCCTGCAGCGGCTAGGCTAACTTGCAGGCAAAAATAACGGCGTTCGCGGTGAGGCTCGGAGTACTGCTCATCACAACGGGGAGTCACTTCGCCTGCGGGAGCAACGATGACCGGGAGAAACTGAGGTAACCAGAAAACAGCTCTGTTATTATCTCGTAAGTTTTATCCTGTTCTCTCAGCAGGAGGCGGGTGTGACAAAAATGTCAATTAACATCAGGAAAGCTCACAATAACCCGCGGGCTGTGTTTCCTGACATGAGCAGGTGCTCGTCTGAAGTGTAATGAACTGGACTCGGTGTTATTTGGTTAAAGCTTTAGCTAATTTATTGTTTAAATATACGTTTTTAGGGTGGCGCGGTGGGAAGAGATATATTTAATGCTCCTTAAAAAAAATCTATAACAACGAGGGTTTGGATGAAATTGAATATATCTGCGCGTGCTCCCGTGTTGTAAACATTCATGGATGCAGTCGAAGGACGCGAGAGCCGCCACGAGCTGTCAATCATCTCATCCTCACTGCTCTATTGTTTTTCGCTCGTGCTGTTTGTGAGTGAGTTTCCATGGAGAGTCTTCCGGTTTCTCTACTCTAATTACCTTATTTGGAGAAGGGGCGGCTGACTGATGGAGTGCTGCTGTTGTTGGGTTAATAGTGCTGTATACACGCAAGCGCCCGAGTGAAGTGGATGTTTTGAAAGAGTTATTCTCAATAGACGCTGATGTATCCTGATCAGGCTTTTCACACTCGATAGCCTTCCGATGGCCTCGAGGTGCGCTGTTAAAGCAATTAACTGTGCAATTAATTTATATCTCAGCCTCGTGGCAAATCGAAATTTATAAACTGTCACCCAATCTGTTTTTTTGTGACACTCAACATTCAGAACGAAAGCACGTTAAATTGGTATTTTGCAACCCCGCCCCACTGACCATTAACAGATCATCTACAAACCCACTATACAGCCTTATAATTTTCTTTCCAGATGAACATGAGGGTACTTTTTAAAACTTAAAAACTGTGATCAGTAGGCTTTGTCAGTGAACCATCATGCAAACAGTCTAGGTCTGAGTTTACACTTGTTTTTTAAAAAGTGTCTTTGGCAATTGGATGGCAAGTGAGCAGCTCAGACAAATCAGTGTTTACATCTGACTCTGATTTCCTTACTGTCTAAGTCACTTCCAGTAGAAGGTCAAAGGAACAGTAATGTAATTAAAGGAGGCCTAGCAAGCAAAATGACATGTTACAAGGACTAAGACAGTACATTCTGTTGCAGCTGTCCTAAACCAAATAGGACACCAAAGTATCCTACTAATATATCATTGCTTCATAGCCACATAGAACTCAAAAATATGGAAAATTTGTGCCCATTTAACAACATAAGACTTTATATTTTGTGACTATTTCACAAACTGCCTGATGCTTGGGTTTTTTCATTACAATTTTATAATAATACTAGTTATTTCCATTGAAATGTTGTGATAACCCTGACTGCAGGTTTATCTAAGTTCTAAGTGAAAGCAACTTGGCTTCCTTGAGTTTTCTATATACATTTAAACTTTTATCCAACTGACTGGTGGAGTCAGTTGGATAGGAACACCTTGTGTTAATGTGTGAGTTATCACTTAGATATAACACGATCTGCATTCCGAGTCTTTCAAGTGGAACATGGATATACACATATAAATTATTAAATGCTTTTAATTGGAAGCTTACACAGACACCCATTATGGTGGTTTATGTGCACTCTTTTGTGTAAGGAATATGTATGGAGTGACCAGCCAAACAGTGGTGACACTGTAGTGAGATCTGAGGCCAAAGGTCTGCACTATGCAGCAAGTGGTAACTTCAGGTTTAAACCTGGGTTTTCAGTGCAATAATTATGCTTGATTTTTACCGGGCACATTGCCATGGCAACTTATTCTTCAGATCTAACCTGTGCTGAAGAAGGTTATGTCGAAGATAAGAGATTAACAGATACAAACTCCCTGCCCACAGACAAGTCAATACTCAGGATTGCCACCATTCCTGGAAGATCCCTTATACCTTGGTGGATTTATAGTCTTCATCTTTCCCTGATGACTCTCACTAAGAAATATAGATCCTTAGAGGCAACTTTAATCCTTCATTTTTGTCCACTGCTGGTTGCATTTAGTTTAACAATATTTATTATTCTGTAGCCATTAATATATTATACAAATACAGTGAATCGGTTTGCATCTGTGGAGTTTATGTTAAATCTGCTGGTAGACTAAATCTGCATCTGAATTCTGTTTTTATTTTTATTTGTTACTTGCTTTCAGACCATTAGGTAGCACCTGGGCTGTAGCTGAAAAAACAAGGCTAAAATTGTCTTATGTTAATTTAAATATTAATTTAATAGAATATGCAAATATAATTTGGCATATGCTCCTGTCTTAATGGTAAAACTCATCTGGTAAATTTGCTACACAGTTGGTATTTTTGGTGGCTTTCCTTCATGGTTTTGAAAAAAAAAAAGACTTTGTAAGTATCATAGTCCTTCAGCATTACTGACCAACGTGCTAAAAGTACACAGACATTCATACAGTGCTTTTAGTTGTATACTTTTATCCTCTCTCTCTGCGGACATCTCATTTGCAGAATGCTTAACCCTAACAATAACCATCAAAAATGAATGCCTAATCCTAAACCTAAGCCTAAACCTAGCCAGAACCTAATAGTGACCCTGACACTAAAACCACATTTTGAGCCACAAAAATGCCTTTAAACTTGTGGGGACGGCATTTTGTCCCCATAAGTGACTACTGGTCCCCACAAGTATAGCAGCATGCCAATTTTCTGTCCTCACAAACATGCACTCAAACATGTACTCAAACATGTACTCAAACAAACACACACACACAGATTTCTCTGTACTGTGTTGGAGATTGGTCAGATGCTGCTAACACCGCTCCTTTCAAGTAAATGTGTTTGTAGCGAGAAAGTTAAACCCTGGGTTGAATGACAACCAATCACGTTGGAATGACTCCTGCACTTGAGTCCAGATGTTAAAGTAAATGAAGCCAGACAGAATAAAACCGAATAGAATAGAATAACTTTAATGTCCACATCGGTGGAACACTGTCTTTGTTCAACAAAGATAGGGATGTCCTGTGTATGTTGCAATTGCTTTGTAGTACAAACCCGAGGCACTGCTGACTTTGTCAACCAGCTCACATAGTGGATGTGTATAGATAACAGCCCTCATGCACTATGTAAAACAGTAATTTATAGTATGAAGAGAAAGAAAAGAAATAAACATCTGATGTCTTTCTCTCTTAAGGCTTTTGACATTTCTGCAGAAGTTTTGCACTGACTCAGAATTTAGCTCATTTATGCATTTCAGACTGTGTTACAGAGAATGCTGCTGCATTCAGAAACATCCCAAAAGATTGCTTGATGTGTATCACTATATAGAAGGTGTATGCTACACTTTACAGCACAGTTAGTACAAACAAAATGCTCCTTTACACAGACTGTTATGTGTGTAGGACCTTAGCCTCTTAATTGTTTGCTATGGTTGACTTAGGTCATGACAATCATATTTTTAAAAGTTCCTCAGATGCTTTTTTTGTCAGAATACATTTTAGACTGATTGGTAATAAGGTAGGAGCTCATTTTGAAAATATTTGTAGCTCACACACAGTGAGCAGTCTCTGGACAGAATGAGAATCTCTGCGCCACATATGAGTGTGCTGAAAAGCGAAAAATACTCAATAACTGGGGGTAAACAAGAAGACTTCCAATGAATGCTAATGTTTAAAAAATCTTTGTTTTTCCCTTTGCTACGTAAGTTATCACACACTTCCCTGTGTGCCAACTGTCTTGTATTTATGTATTCTGTCTGTCTTGAGGGGAATAATGTTCAAATATTTGGCCATAATCATCTTAAAAAACAATTATAGGGGTTACTGCATGTTGTGCCAAACGCAGAAAGATGTTTTAGAATGGTTGCAATAGGAAAATGTTTTATCCTATCGATGGAGGCCAAACCAAACTTTTTAATTTTTCATGAATTTTTTATAATCACCACTTAAATATCAGAAGGTTAAAATGGCATTTTTCTAATGAGCCTGACACGACCTGAGGTCATTTTAATCTTGAAAACAGTTTATGCAGTAAGGCACTAATTTATTAGGACGTCCGCTGCTTCAAAACTTAGTATTCTTAACTGTTAGCCCCGTGGCATATTTGTAATTTGAATGTAACTGTGTGAGCTGGTCAGATGACGTCTTTGTTTCAGTTTAGTGGCACTGTCTGAATTTGAATCCGTGTTTTGAATGTTATACTTTCCATCTATCCATCACTCCTTCCCTCCCTGACTGTGTCACAGGGGCAGACATAACAGAGCAGGTTGGTTTATGTGATACACGATTAGTCACATTTCCATGCCAATATTTTGTACCATTGCAAGACATCTTAACACTTGCAAAAGGAGCGTTGTAAACAACAGAAAAGATGTCTCCATGCATTCATTTCTTTTGCAATACACTGAAATAGCAGTTGCAGTGTATTGCAACAGACCATGGGCATTTTATAGTACCTGCATTTTGTGTATCTAGGACAACCAATACTACTAGCAGAGATGTAGTCTCTTAAGGGGGAATCATATTATGAAGTCAAATCAGGGAATTATCGTAGCCTCTAAATAAAGGATTCAGCCACTATGACATTTAATCAAGCTAGTGTTTTTATCAACGTGCCACCTTATTGTCTTTTTCTGTGCTGTCAGAGATAGCAAACACTATCCTAACAGTTTTTAGTAATATAAATGCACCCATGAAATATCCACCCATCTATTTTGGTTGCATTATAATGTTGCTTCATCCAGCCAGCCATTATAATCACACCAGCAGTAGCTGGGACACATTGTCTCATTGGAACAGGGATTAAGGGGCATCAACAGCAAAAACAATTGGAGATTCAGATGAACATGTATGCAGTTACAGAGTGTCATACTTCATCATTCTGTCTGATTAAAGGTAATCTTAACATTTTTATGAAAGCCTTTTAATAAATTGGTTACTCTGTTAAAACCCTAGATGTCTTTTCACAGCTTGCATTGACTCAGCAGCAAAGCACAAGTGTAATTATTACCACAAATGACGATTCT